CACGAAGTAAGTTAAAGACTTGTATGATAAAAACGTCAAGTAATTGAAAAAGATACTAGGAAATGGAAGGCTTTCCCATGCTCCTAACTTTGTAGGATGAATTCAGCAGAATGGACCATCCTACCAATGCAATCTACAGACTCAGTACAATCCCCATCAAAATGTGAACACAGTTCTTCACAGAGCTTGAAAGGATAGTTTTCATCTTTATATGGAAACAATACTAAATAATATCGGCACCACTGGAGGTATCATCATTCCCAATCTCAAATTGAACCACAGAGTTAATAGTAATGAAAATAGCATGTCATTGACATAAAAAAAAAAAAAAAAAGACATGTTGATCAATGGAATTGAATTGAAGTCCCAGACATAAATCCACACACCTATGGATACCTGACTTTATTATTATTATTATTATTATTATTATTATTATTAAAAAAGCCAGAAATACATACTGGATAAATGACCAGGCAACAGTTTATGCTGGGTAAAATGGATATCTGAATGCAGAATAATGCAAATAGATACCTTAATAGAGGGAGCCATTATAGGTTTAAAGAGAAATATGGCACCAGGGAAATGTCCAGAGATCCACAGGATGACCCCAACCAAGAATCTAAGCGATAGTGGAGAGGCTATCTTAAATGCCCTTCCCCTATAATGAGATTGATGACTACCTTAATGCCATCCTAGAGCCTGCATCTAGTAGCTGATGTAAACAGAAGTAGAGATCCATAGCTAAACACAGAGCTGAACTCCTGGAATCTGGTTATAGAGAAGGAGGAGGATGAACAGAGAGGTCATGACCATACTGGGGAAACCCACAGAAATAGCTGACTTGAACAAAGGGGAGCTCATGGACCCCAATCTGACAGCTGGGGAACAAATATAGGTCTGAACCAGGCCAGGAGGTGGCCTGTCATGTGTATGTCAGCTAGGAGGCCTGGGCAGTCTATAAAGCCACTGGCAGTGGAACCAGTATTTATCCCTAGGACATGAATGAACTTCAGGAGCCCATTCCCCATAGAGTGATACTCTCTTAGCCTAGATACATGGGGAGGTCCTAGGCCCTACCCCAAATGACTTGACAGACATTGATGATCCCCCATGAAAGGCCTCACCCTCCCTGTGGAGTGGATGAGGGGTGGGTGGGACAGGAGTGGGGGGAGGGGGAGGGGTTGATGGATGAATGGGAGGGCAAGAGGGAGAGGGAACTGGGATTGATATGTAAAATAAGTTTGTTTCTATTTTAAATAAAATTCATAAAAAATGGAATAGAGATCCAAACAGAATTGTCAAAAGAGGAACACAAATGGCTGAGAAGCAATTAAAGAAATGTTCTTAAATAAATGTACTTACTCATCAGGGAAATATAAATCAAAACTACTTTGTCATTTCATCTTATACCAGTCAGAATGATCAATAAAATAAATAAAATAAATGAGAGCTCATGCTAGTGAGGATATACAGTAAGGGTAACACTGATCCATTGCTGGTGGGATTGCAATCTTGTACAGCTACCATGGAGATCATTGTGGTGGTTTGTTAAGAATCTGGGACTAAATTTACCTCAAGATCTGGCTATACCACTCTTTGGTATTGTGGTGCCTTGAATAATAATGGCTCCAATAAGCTCATTTATTTGAATGCTTAGTCACCCTGGAGTGGAACTTATTTATAGCATTAGAAGGATTGGGAGGTTTGGCCTTGCTGGAACAAGTGTATCACTGGGTTTCAAGTGCCCATGACACACCCAGGCTCACTTTCACTCTGCACTATGCCTGCCATGCCTGCTGTCATACTCCCTACCCTGATGTTAATTGATTAAGCCTATGAAAGTGTAAGCAAGCCCCATGTTAAATGTTTTCTCTAATAAGAGTTGCAATGGTCATGTTGTCTCTTTGTAGCAATAGAACCACTAAGACAGACTTATCTCCAAAGGACTCTGCATCCTGCTACAGACAGTTGCTCAGTCTTGTTCATTGCTGCTCTATTCATAATAGCCTAGATGTCTGTCAACACAAGAATGGATAAAGAAAATGCAGTACAGTTATACAATAGAATAATGTTTACCTGTTAAAAAAATGAAATCATGAAATTTGCTGGTAAATTGAAGGAACTTAGAAAAAAAATTCTGGGTGAGGTAACCCTAATACCCAATGATGAATATGGTATATATTTGCTTATATGTGGATGCTAGTGGTGAATTCTTTGATAAGCAGGCTATAGCCCATATAACTGCAGAGGTTAGGTATAGAGTAAGGGACTTGGCATGTATGTGTCCATGGTTGTGATGGTGGATCTCCCTAGGAAGGGGAAATAAAATAGATAGGGAATATAAGACTTGGGATTTGAAAGTTAGGATGGAAGGGAAGAAGTGAGGAAGGTAATATAGGGGAGGACAACGAAAACTAAGGGCCATTTGAGGGATCAAATAGAAATCTAATATAGTAGGAGCTTCTTAAAATTCACATATGTGAAATAAATCTAAATGGAATCACCAAATAACAGGGAGACAAAGCCCCAAGTAGACATCTCTTTTCACCAAGTGAACCTCTAGTTCCAAGAATGGGTTACATCTAATCAATTTGTTGGCTAAAAGGGCCCCATGAACACCACCTAACAACTGAGGCTATTTCCAGAGCTATTTGGTTGTTCTTCACAAACTGTTGGTAACTGGAGGTATATATACCTATATACCTCATTAGCACAGAGAAGTAAAGCTGGTGCCTACTTAGAGTCTTTACCCCTACTGACTAGTGTTCATGGTACTGGAAGGTACTCTCTATACCAGAGAAAAATGGTAAACATCAACCCAGCTACAAACTCTAAGCTCTATAAGGGTGACCTGCCTGCATGATATGCTAGAACAGTAGTGACACAAAACTTGTGGGAGTAACCAACTGTGCTCAATAGTTTTATGTTAATTTAGTACAAGCTAAAGCCATCTTAGAGAAAGGAACCTCAATTAAGAAAATGCCTCCAGAAGATAAGACTGTAAGCAAGCCTGTAGGGGCACTCTTTTAATTAGTGATTGATGGGGGAAAGGCTAGCCCATGGTGGGTGGTGCCATCCCTGGGCTAGTGGTCCTGGGTTCTATAAGAAAGCATGTTGAACAAGCCAGTAAGCAGAACCTCTCCATTGCATCTGCATCAGCTTCAGCCTTTAGATTCCTTCCCTGTTTCAGCTCCTGCCCTGACTTCTTTGAAGATGAACATGTGCAGTGGAAGTGCAAGCCATATAAACCCTTTCCTTTCCAACTTGCTTTTTTGTCATGGTGTTTCATCACAGCAACAGAAACCTTAACTAAGGTACCAACTAATCTCTGATTAGATTTAAGGTCCACTTCATGAGATAGAACTCATCCCTGATGTTGCTGGAGTGGACAGGAACCTGACTAGAGAGATCAGGGACCTAGCGGAAATCCAAAAACTACTTTTCTGCTAAAGGAAGGTAGCAATAAAAAGATTCCTAAAGAAATTCTACTAAACTCATAGAGCCCTGTTTTGTTCAGCCATCATTAAAGAGGCTTCCTTCTACCTGCAATAGATGAGAACAAAAACAGAGTCACAATGGGACAATGCAGAGAGTAAGAGACTTTGTAACACTCAGTCCTAAATGTGATGTCTCCACCAAATCCCTCTCCTCAGAGCTCAAGAAACCTGTGGAAGAGGAGGCAGGAAGATTTTAAGAGCCAGTGGGGATGCATGACATCAAGGAAACAAGAAAACAAGACCTTCCAAACACAGTGGAACTTATGCACATAAGAATTGACAGAGACTGTGATAACAAGCCCAGGTCTAAGCCTAATGTGGTGCTAGCACTGAGAGGGGAAGGGGACACAAGCCCTCATCCCTAATTTAGAAGCTATGTCCAATTGATAACTACTCACAAAGGAAAATTAGTTTTCTCTAATGGAGTCCCACTGGGTATACAAATCATTTTTAAGGACAGACTATATGCTCAACAGTAAATGGCCAACTCAATGCCATTTTTGGAGGTTCCTTGTCTCGTAATGCTTTGTCTGGGCATTTTTTTTTTCTTTACAGATCTTTTGTGTATATATTATAGTTTCTGGTGTTGTATTTTTGTGGGGTTTCTGTGTTTCTGAAAATGTGCATATATGAATCTATATATATTTTTTGTGCTTTCTCTTAGGTTTGTGCTTTGTCCTATTCTGGCTTCTTTGTTTTTATTTTACCTTATCATTTTTAAATACCTATTTGTATTTTAATAAGAGAGATTAAGAAAAGGTGTGAATTTGGGTGAATGGGGAATCAGGAGGACCTGAAAGGTGATGGAGAAACCTCAATTAGAATAAAGTGTATGTAAAAATATATATTCCTCCTTAAATAAATAGTTGTCAGAATTGTCACAGATTCAAAAAGAAGAAATTTGCTGAATGTAACTCAGTGCTTGCTTCTGTCTTATTACCCCAAGTCCTTTGTAATGATGCTGCCTTATGAAGTAAGCATTCAGGCTAGGGATGTAGTTCATTGTTAGAGCTTTTGTCCTTCCATCTCCAGCAGTGAAGGAAAATAAACATAAAATTGGCATTCAGTTAATATGTGTGGAATTGATTCATGTGTTAATATTTATAAAATGTCTAACATAGTACCTGGATTGTAGCTTAAACTTTCTGACTATGAGTTATGAGGCATATATACTTCCTCTAATGTAATATTAGAAAGAGTTTTCATGCTTGAACACATGACCTGCAATGGTCAGGGTCCATTTACTCTATGAAAGCCATGAACATTTTGGAGTCAATGTTTGTTTATAAAATTGAATGCTAATAAAGTGAGTGAATCTTAATGTTTCTTTCTACTGGGGATATCAGACTCATGGGACTAACTGCTTTGCTTTCCTTTACCCATTTATTTCTTAGCACAAGTACAAAGATCCCATGTACTATAGGGACAGAGGGTTGGATGAAGGCTTTGGTCTTAGGACTTTGGTCTTAATGGTGGGATAATTGTGTTCTCTGTTGGTTTCAGATGTTCATACAGAAGCTGTCCAGGCAGCTCTTGCTAAACACAAAGAAAGGAAGATGGCAGTGCCAATGCCTTCCAAACGAAGATCCCTGGTTGTACAGACTTCCATGGATGCCTATACACCCCCAGGTGAGCAATGCCTTCCGTGTTTCTGCTTCTTAAATGTGTGCCTTAGAATTAATTGGTAACTAGGTCATATCAGTCTTTTAAAAAAAAAAAAACTTTTAGTTAGGATACAAAATAACGGTCTCATCATGTCATGTTCACATGTTTATTAGTTACTCACCCTCCCCAGAGTCTTTGTGATCCCCTCTATCTCTCTTTTGTCCCTTTCATTCCCCCAATTTTTTTTTAACTCTTTCCCTTTTATGCCACACATATCCAATATCTCTATTGTTCTCCCCACTTTAGATCTTACCTTTCCTCTTTCTGCTTTCATGACCTACATACACCCTAGATTTCATATATGAATGGAAATATGCAATAATAACCCTCATTTGTATTATTTTGTTGTTGTTGTTGTTGTTTGCCCTTAACATAAGGAACTCTTCTCTGTCCATTCTCTTGCAAATGTCATGATTTTATTCTGTTTTTGTGTTTTATTTTGTTTTGTTTTTCAGTTTTTTGAGATAGTGTTTCTCTTTGGCTTTGGCTGCTGTCCTGGAACTAGCTCTTGTAGACCAGGGTGGTCTTTTTGCAGCCGAATAAAAGTCTATTATGTATATTTAACTACATTTTATTCATTCATTTATTGATGGGCATATAAGTTGGTTCTATAATTGGCTATTGTGACTTCTGCTTCAATAAGCAAGCACATACAAGTATCTGTAGTGTGTTGACATAGAGTCCTTCAGGTATATGCCCAGGAGGTAAGAACTTCATGAACCATACTTCAAAAATAGCATATGAGTTTAACTTGGGAGGGAAATTTTAACATTGTTACATGTATACCTATATTAGTCAGTATTTTAGATTTTCATGAAGACTCAACTATGATTACTCAAAAACATAAAATTTTACTCAATTATTTACCCATATAGAAAATATTATACCTTTTAAGTATAATTGAAATTATATAGATCTTTCTTCTGCTAGAAAGATGTGTACGTATATACACACACATATCCTTAAATTTTTACAATACTAATATCCTACATTATTATATCGACCTTTGTCAATCAATTCAGATGGTGACCCAAAACAGGAATCACTAGGCTTTGCCTGTGGAATGTGAGACAGTAATTTAGCTTCTGTAGGCTTTAACAGCTCTTCAACTCTACTGTTGTGGCATAAAAGCAGGCATTTTCGTGTGTCAGTGGATGGAAGTGCTGTGTTCTAGTAAAAGTTTACAAAACATGCAGTAGGCATGATTTGGTCCACAGACTTACTAACCCTTCATCAAAAGTCACTGGGAAGTTATTATCTGATCTGAGGTGTATCTTTTGGCAGTGTGTGGAAAAGCAGTGAGGTTGAGGATCATCTTTGCAGCACTATTTAACAAATCAAATCTCTTCTTGAAAACAGATACCTCGTCCGGTTCAGAAGATGAAGGCTCAGTGCAGGGTGATTCCCAGGGAACCCCAACCTCTAGCCAGGGCAGCATCAACATGGAGCATTGGATTAGCCAGGCCATCCATGGCTCTACTACATCAACCACCTCCTCTTCCTCCACTCAGAGTGGGGGCAGTGGGGCAGCACACCGGCTGGCAGACGTCATGGCCCAGACACACATAGGTGAGTAAGATGTACATAGCCTGGAGGGATGGATACCTTTGCCTTTTTTTGGTGTCTGGTTTGCTCTTGGAATTATCTGAGCTAGCACTGAATATTGGTTTGTTCTCCAGGAATGCTCTGGTTATAGAATCTGATGGACACCTGGGTTACTGCTTTGGACTAAACATTTCTAAAACTATTGTTATGTTTATTCAATACCTCAGTCTTTTGTTACAGGAATTCTTCCAGCTTTGTGTTAGTTTTCAATGTGTTCTTATTCATTAGGAAAGCTTGCAGCCATATCAACTTATATGTTTGTGTTTTATGCTAAATACACTACTCAGTGAAGTTTTGTGGTGCTGGTATAGACAAGAGATTATAACGTACAGTTGCTATTACTTGGAGAGTGTCATTTGAAGAACTTGATGGACTTAATGATTTCTGCCAAAGGCATTCACATTGTTTAGATACTTTATACTATTATTCTTTATGTGGGCTCTAGAATGAAGAAGGCTGTATAGATTAGAAAAAGTAGAAGGTGGGCTAGAAAGGTGGCCCAGCAGTTAAGAGCACATACTGTTCTTGCAGAGGACCTGAGGTTTGTTTGAAGCACAAACATTGGACTATTCACAGCTCCCTGTAACTTAAACTCCAGGGAATCTAGCTGCCTCTCTTGTCCTCCACAGGCAGCTACACTCATATATACCCATCCCCCACATTCATATACATAATGAAAAGTAAAAAAATTAAACCCACATGGTCAGAAACATGACCACGGGGCATCTGAAAATAGTTTAAGAAAAGAAGTAAGCGATTAGAGGAAACATGTGCTAGATGAGTAATTGGTTCTATGAAATGTGGGGATGATATCATTCCTGCCCATGTGCATATTATTTACTATGTCCCAGTCTAGTCCTCATTCTTAGGTGTGAAGTGAGACATCTAGATCTCTGTTCTCATCCATTGTTTTCTGTGGATTAAGAGCTCAAACAGGTCAATGGTAAGAGGTTTTCAGAAGGTAAATTGTTTGGATATGATCCAATATGTTCTATCTGTCATGTAGCCACCAGGTAGAGAAATAGCCAGGTACTTAGAGGCAGTTGCATATTATACGGTCATATATATACCTAGAGGTTGAGTGAGATATAGATGTAGTTCTCCCAAGTCACACCTGCAATACTGTAGGAATACCTTTCCACATCAGGAAACAGGAAGTGGAATAAATGAGTTAAACATGGCAAAGTCAGCTCAGATACCCAGAATGTGGATCTTTAACTAATTGATGGGCAGTTAAAGTCATTTCAAACTGATGTTTTAAGCTTCATCCCATTTGAACTCAGTGAACAAAGTTAAAAGCATTGCCCTTTTTTATATTCAAGTAAGTTTGTTTGGTTCATTGCCTGAAGAACAGCATCTGCTTTGAGTTCTGTCATTAACAACCACTGGGATCTTGAAGTCACATTTTCAGTGAAGGGGAAAAAAAATGGGAACCATAGTTTCTTGCCCTTTTTACTTTCTGAACTGTTGCAAGTAAAAAGGAGAATACAGGAACATCTGAACAAGTTTTTGAAGCAGTTACTTAAGCTTAATACATTTTGAAGAAAATTACTAGTCAGTGTTACCAGATAACTTACATTTAAAATATCAGAAAATTAAACATTGCATATAAATGTCACCATTAAATATATTTAGATAACACAAGTCATTCTTTGCTTATTGCAGCTTAGAATGGCTGCTGAAGCTGTCAGCTGTCCATGGTACCTGAGCAGACAGACAGTATACCCACCAACTTGAACATGGAAGTTCTCTGATTTTGTTCTTTTAAGAAGGTTGTCAGAATCTTTCTAAGAGGACCAAATATTTCTGAACAGATTAATCCCTGCCTTTGGCTTTCCCCTTGTGAGTTTACACTTTGAATACTGGAGGAAATTATAGCATGCAGAATTAAATTTATCCAAACTATAAAAGGTTGCATTACTCATATACAACCAAGGCTCAGTGTGTCTTAAATATAACTCCTGAGTGTGTGACATTTCAGTAATTTCTTATTTGGCACAAGGCTAAGTTCCTAGAATATCTGGAATTTATCTGTAGGCATTGGCTTTCCCCCCCCCCCCCCCAAAAGACAAAACAATGAAACCTGATGAGAATTGAAAATACTTTATTCCAGAGACAAAGGCAGCCAAGGGGAGAGGTGGAGAGTCAAAGTTGTCAGCACTTGACCTTTTGCTGAGATCATCAAAATCTTGGGAAAAAGAAAATAGCATGAGTGTGTGCCTGCATATACATGCATGCACGTTTGGCAAAGCTGAAAACAAATAAACTCCAAAATCATGTTTGATCCCTTTGGGCAAGTTGCATCATGTGGAGTCTATAGAGACTTCTTTTGCACATTAATGAGGAAAGCCAAGAGATAACAACCACATAGTCTCTCTCAAAATGGGCATTCTTTTGCTTCTTGGTTAAAGCAAAACCTCAAGCCTTTCTGTATTTTTTTTTTCTGCAAATTTCCTTGGGCACACACCTAAGACATCTCCCATGTATTTTGGTGAGCCAGGATGGCTTACTAGAGGATGAAAAATTCTATTCTGGGCTATCAATTTTACTTTCTCCTATAGTGCTTGTTGTGTATATTACAAGATATACTTGTTAATCTGTAACCAAGGACCCTGACAGCAAAACCTCAAACTTGACAGTGCTAAATTTTGAGACTGTGTAGACTGCTAGTACAAGGAGTCAGACCTTATGTTCTGACTTCCTACATTACTGGCAGAATATTGTGTGCCTTTGGCTGACTTGTGTATTTTTTCCATATCACTATAACCAGGGTAACCTGTTTACCAAACATCAAAACCTAGATCCTTGTGCATACTAGCAAAACTGTGTACCTTTGAGGCACTTGCTAGCCCTAGAATGACTCTGGATCACTCATGGTAATTATTGGAACATACTTATTAAGTGCCTTAAGGCTGAGCATTGTAGCTCAGTGTTTGCTTCTTGTGGCTTTGTTTCAATCCTAAATACCACAAAAATAAAGTTAAAAATTAAACAACCTTAGTTAGAAATGAGGGGTTTAATGCTCAAAACGAAAACTTGAGAAATGTAACTTAGACTAGACAGTATAATTACTTGAATTATTTTAAACTCCAAGATTTATATTTGAAAAAATGTTGAGTAAATTATAGGAATTACTTAGATAACATAACTAGGGAAATTGGACACATACTGTATTAATACAGTCATAGAGTAAGAACTAAAGACAATGCAGAATATATATATATATATATTCATATATATATATGAAATTAGACTTTCACATGAACTTATTTTAGTTTTAAGCCTCTGTAATCTTTTGATAATGTCTTTATCTGACAACATTGTCAGAGTATATTGAGAGTGTATTTTTATTAATCCAGTCTTTATAAAAGTAATTGATTTTTCCCAGAATGTTTTAGAATTCTCATAAGAATTCTTGTATCCATCCCTGCTAAGAAGATATGAAGTTGAGCTGGGGTGATCTTTCAGTTGGTATGGGCTGGCTATGCAAGCACCAGGACCTGAGTTTGAATCTCCAGCACCATCTAAAAAGCTGGATCTGGTAACCCTTGCCTGTAATTCCTGTCCCAGTGAGTCAGCTATAGATTCTTGGAGCTAGTGTGGACAACTGATGAGTTTCTGGTTCTACAAGAGACCCTGTATTATTCAATGTTCTCTAGAAGAACAGAATTTATAGAATGAAAATAAGTGTGTGTGTGTGTGTGTGTGTGTGTGTGTGTGTGTTAGATTTATTCGAATTACTTACATGTGGTTCAGCTAGTCCAACAATGACTGTCTAACAACTTGAAAGTCTAAGAATCCAGTAGTTGTTCAGTTTGTGTTTATACATTGTAATCTTGAAGAAATAGACTCATGAAGGTATGAATTTGCTAGTGAGATTGAGAGCAACCAGGCAAAGAGCAAAAACTTCCTTCTTCTATCTCCTTTACATAGGCCTGTCACCAGACCATAATGCCCAGATTAAAGGCGAATCTGCCCTCCTGAAAAGGTTTGGATTAAAAGCAGTGACTCTTCCCATTTCAAATTATTTGATTAAGAAAAATCCTTCACAGATGTATCCAGCCACTTGGGTTTTTGTTAATTTCAGGTGTAATCAATTTTACAACTAAAAGTAGATATCACAGACCCTGTCCCCAAAAAATAAGGTTAGATCAACAATGTCAACTTCTGTCCCCACATATGTGCACTTCCACATAAGTAGATAACTAGTATGTGTGAATGTAAACAAATAAATGAAAAAACTAACAGAATGAATTTATAAAAATCTTTATTTATCCCAGAGATGTATTAGTTATTACATAATAAGCAAGAGCCTGGCAGTTGGATGTTTTGATTGTGGAGTCTGTTTTATTAGGGAAATTTATTCAGTTTGAATAGCCACTATTATAAATTACCCTTGTTTATTTATCTGTAATCGTCCTAAGTATTTAAGCTTTTAAAACATATGTTGCCCTAATATAGCACATATATACCAAAATTGGTGATGTTGCCACAGCCTGCGTATTAAGGGCTAGTATCTCCCTAATGTCCCATCCCTCTCAACTTGGGTGGTATTGCAGTTAGAATATTATAATTTTAGAGCAGATCAACAAATTTTTCCTATAAATGGATAGATAATTAAATATTTTACTGCTGCAGCTATTGAACATGGTACCTTTATCACAAAATAAGCTACAAATACAAAGACACATCTATATGCTAATATTTCTAAAGTCAGGTGCCTGGTAAACAGCTACTCATAGTTTTTTGATCCACATTTTAGAATTTTAAACTTTACTCCAAAAGCAAACTGAAAAATATGAATCTTCTCTAAGATAATACAAGGCTGAATGGAAACTGTCAGTGGTGGCCCATGTTATGTGCCTAATCCTCCATGTCCCATCAGGATGGTTAAAACATGGATTTGGGATTGTCACTTTTTGCTAGAAATAATTTCATGGTGTGATCTTTCAAAACACATTTTACATTAAGTTGTTAAAATCCAAATTATACTTCTTGCCTCCAAAAAATATGCTAAGCCTTCATCCTGTTCACATTCCACTCTGGAGGTAATTAGTGCCCCTCCGCAAATAGTGGAGAGTTTTCTATCATTCATGAACATGTGCAGAACCCTTAAAATTCTTGTTGCCTGAAGTACACATTTGTGACTTAGGTCCCAATAGGATTGCCCTGGCCCTCTTGTTTTAGTTCTCTGTCAGTAGAAGTGTGTTTTTTTTTTTTTAAATTAATTTTATATGCATTGGTGTTTTGTCTACATGTATGTCTGTGTGAAGCTGTAGGATCCCCTGGAACTGGAGTTACAGACAGTTGTGAGGTGTCATTGGGGATTCAGCTTCTGGTTTTCTGAAAGAGCAGCTGGTGCTTTATCTCTGCTGAGCCATCTCTTCAACCCCAAATTTTTGTGCTTTTTACAGCATGCCCTCTGTGATGTTTTTGTGATTTTATTGATGAAAGCTTATATGAACCAGAATTTTACTGTAAGGTTGAAATGGACAGTGTTTAAAAAGATAAGAAGGAGCCAGGCATTGTTGGTGCACTCGGGAGGCAGAGGCAGGTGGATCTTTGTGAGTTCCAGGCCAGCATGGTCTACAGATCAAGTTCCAAAGTAATACAGAGAAATTCTGTCTCAACTCCCCCCTCCAAAAAAATAAATATTAGAAGGATTGGGAGGTGTGGCCTTTTTTGGGGGGAGTGAGTCACTAGAATAGGAGGTAAGGTTTCAAAAGCTCATGCTGGGCCCAGGCAGCCTCTCCTGCCTGCAGATCATGATGTAGCTCTCAACTACTTCTCTAGCACTATTCCTGCCTTGCCTCCTGCCCTATTCTTGCTGTGATGATAATGGACTTCATTGCATATGCTTCCAAATATTAGGAATACAGGCTTGTGTCACCATGTTTGGTCAAAGTATCTTTTTATAGAGTATTTTCTAGACATTTTTGAGGCCCTATTGCTTAGCCTTTGGAATAACCATGTTCATGAGAAAATTGTCTTCTGTGCTTCTTTACAGAAAATCATTCTGCACCTCCTGATGTAACCACATACACCTCAGAACACTCAATACAAGTAGAAAGGCCACAGGGCTCTACCACATCCCGGACAGCACCAAAGTATGGCAATGCTGAGCTCATGGAGACTGGGGATGGTATGTCATACAGTGAGGTGCTTCCTCCAATGTGAATGCTCTACTGCTGTCTTTACTATGATTAGTATTACTCTTTTGAGTGAAGGTGCTGCTTCTAGATACTCCTTGGTTCCTTCAGTCCTGCTTATCATGTTCCTTTGGAACTTTTCTAGGTGACCTAACTTTGAAAAATGTAAATCATTTCCACATTGTCTAAGGATTTATCCTTATTAAAAACAATGTAGATATTGCAGTAATTTAGCCATGAGAAGATAAAGATTTAATTAGATGCTGATAACTAATGTTGGATGAGTCATTAGAATCTAAGAATTTACAGTATAAGTGTTAAGACTGTGAATGCTTATTTCAAAGAGCAACATGAAGTTAAATGGGAAAACAAAGTGATTTATAGAGGTGTTGTAGCCTTAGATTTTGGAAGAAGGAGGTACCTTTTTTTTTTTTATTAAAATTGGAAATAAATGATCACTGCTTTGATAACTTACAGAATAAAAGGGTTTCCCTAGTTTCCAAATTTCTAATCTTGGTGTATTATAGTAACATTAATAGTTCCAAGTATGGAATACCAATCAGCAAACCACAGATATGAACTTTCTCTGTATTCTAGTTGAATTGTGTTATATTCCTGCACCGGTCATAAAAGTTAGATTAGAATCTATCAGTAAAATTACTTACTTCTTTATGAAAAAATTGAACAGTATCAACACGCCACAGTCAATGTACCTGACAGTGTTTGTTGATGTTGTTATGATGACTGGGGTGGTTCACAATTAAATACCTAATACTAGCCATATCTTTAACAAATGGCATACTGTCCTCAGCATGGTTGAAGCCCTAATACTACTTATTCATAAAGATCAATTTAATAAAAACTGTAGCAATTACATTTCTTACAGAATTGGCTGTCCTTTTATTCTACCAAGTTGGCTTTAATTCTCTGACATACCCATTATTGAAAATGATCATAGATATTATTCTTGCCATTATTTAAGAACTTACATTATCTTTAAAATCTGTCAAGTTCTGGAATTAGGTAAATTCTGGCTCCTGTATTATGTAGTCCAGCGCTTCTCATTGTGTACACCATCAACTCAGAATCACACCCACAGCTAGTACTAACATTCTCACCTAAGCTTCAAAACCACTGGTCTTGGATTCATCTGAAACAAATTGTTTGGGATTAGTTGAGAAGATACTATATTTAGATGTTGAGAATTGTGGCAATTTTTCCATGTTGTCAGTGCTATAATTTTTTTTTAATCTGAAAGTACATTTAAGATTAAAATGATTTTGAAGTAATGGAGGTATATGTCATTGCTTAGATACGTTGTCTGGCATGTATAAGGCCTTATGCTGTGTCCACTACAGGAAACAAAAACACTATTGTTTGGGGAAATTTTTTTGCAAGTTACCATGTTTCCTCCAGTGTTTGTTCATTTTCACTCTGATTCCCATTTTTTTTTTTTCTTTTTTCTTTTTCATTAGGTGTACCAGTAAGTAGCAGGGTATCTGCAAAAATTCAGCAGCTTGTCAATACCCTTAAACGACCGAAGCGACCCCCATTACGGGAATTCTTTGTTGATGACTTTGAGGAATTGTTAGAAGGTAATGTTTTTACCTCTTCTTTTATGAGATCCTATAGTTCCATGGTACAATACTACATTTTCTGCAAAATGCCTTTATTTTGTTTAGAATGATACCAGCCTATAATTCACAACACCAGAGGAACTAGGATACAAGGTGTATTCTAAGAGATTCATTTAAAGACCCTCACAGAAGGGGGAAGGGACAAGTCCCCCAGAGCACATGGGCAGTGGGGGGGGCAGTGAATGGAGAGAGAAGTAGGAGAAAGAGAAGGGGAGGAGAGGTGTGACTAGGAAGATTGAGTCAGGGAAGACGAGAGAGACAGAGAGAGAGATAGATAGAGAGAGACAGACAGACAGAGAGAGAGAGAGAGAGAGAGAGAGAGAGAGAGAGAGAGAGAGAACAAACATAAAAGAGGGAGCCATTATTGGTATGAAGAGAAAACTGAACCTAAAGGAAAGTCTAGAGACCTACAAGACTGCCACCAACTAACAATTTGAGTTCAAAGGCTACCATATATGCCCTTCCTGGATAGTGAGATCAACAACTAACTTATCCACCACCATGGAGCCCTTATCTAGTACCTGTTGGAAACAGAAGCAAACACCCATAACTAAACATTGAGTCAAACTAGAATCCAGATGCAGAGGAAGAGGACAAGACCAGGTTGCAGAAACACATAGAGACAGCTGACCTGAACAAGGAGGAGCTAACGGGTCCCCAGACTGATAGCTGGGAAGCCAGCATGGGACTGACTCAGGCCCCCCTGAATATAGGTCTCAGCTAGAAGGACTGAGCAGTCTAAGGGATCTCAGACAGTGGAACCAGGATGTATTCCTGGTGCACAAAATGACCTTGTGGACACATCCCCTATGGAGGGATACTACCTTAACCTAGAGACAGAAGAGAAGTCCTAGTCCCTACTTCAAATGACTTGACAGATTTACATGACCCCACCTGGATGGCATTGCCCTACAGGTGGAATTGGGGTTGGGGGATGGGAGGGGAGGGTGGTCTGGGTGCATGTGAGGGGGCAGAAAGGGTAAGAGGGAGGGAACTGGGATTGACATGTAAAGTAAAATATAATTTTAAAAAAGTGATAATCTTGCCTTTTCTTGACAATAGCACTCTAAGTCAGAATGCAGGTTGCTGCTTCCAATGAATATGGTAACAGTACACCAAGTGGCTAGCATTTTAGAGCTTTGAAGCCATCTGTTCCCCCCCCCTTTAGTGGAATGTGACTCTGTTATGTGATTTAGGCCTCTTTATAAGGACTCAATGCTGTGATAGCAAAGCAAAATGAAACTATAGAGATCCTTGGCTCAAAGCCAAAGGGTACTTTCTACACAAGCTTATAATAAGATTGCTGGAGTATGGTGGGAACTCTGCCCTCCATCTCACCTATGATGAATGGGAGTCTGCAACTAGATAACTTAAAATTGAAACAAAATGATTAGTATGTTGGATCAAACCCAAGCTTCTTGTTATCTGTTAACTGAAGTTAAGACTCAGCTGAATGATGGTGAGACAGATGACTGATGGGATAAAGCATTTTAGTGCAAGTGTGAAGGTAGGATTTCAGAACCCATGTTAAATGCAATCTTGAAAAGTATAGACGAGATCACTAGGTCAAGTTGATGAATGAGACTAGCCTCAACCTTGAGTGCTGGGCTTGATTGTGAGGCTGGGCTACCTTAATGAATAAGGTAGAAGAATTATGGAGGACAGTTCCTAACATCAAACTTCAACCTACACATTCATACTCATGTACACATGGGACCACACACACACACACACACACACACATACACAGAGGCACATATATATCCATACTACACTTTCATGCACCTGAAAATTGAAAAATAAAATTTATAGAAGGCTTAGTTGATTTTCCAGATAGCAGGTGGAGGCAATCACTCAATTTCTGAGAGAGAATTTCTTTCTACATATCTTTCTTTCACACCTATCTAAACTTTTTGTTTTTCTCGAGACATGGTTTCTCTGTGTAGCCCTGACTATCATGGATCTCTCTGTAAACCAGGATGACCTTCAACTCACAGAGATTCACCTGCCTCTGTCTCCTGAGTGCTGGGATCAAAAGCTTGCAGCACCACTACTAGCTAAGACCTATCTAAACTAAAAGAAGAACACAGTGTTTTCAGTGAGGCATTTATTTTAGTTTTATTCACTCAAGTACTTTCACCGTGCTTTTGTTATACAGATGGTAGATGATTTCTGCCTATATTTCATCTTTGAAGGGAAAAATATAATGTAAGAACTGAGCCTTTTGTAGTCTTGAATACTGTATGCTAATAAGTAGAACTTCAAACCCATGCATTTAAATGTGAGACTCTAGGCATATGGTTCAGTTTTGTCTGTTATCTACAAATGTTCTCACACCCACCTAAATTCTCCATTCTGTGTTGCTTTGGAAATTGTAAGAGCTCAATTCTTTTGTTACATCTGTAATGATTTTAATTCTAGAAAAGCATGTTTACTGTCAGCTGATACATTTATGCCTTAAATACAAATCTCTTAGATTTTTTATAAACTTTAAAAATATTATGCTAACATGGATGCATTTTTCTTGAAAATCTTGTATTTTTAAATGTATTTAGTTCAACAACCAGATCCAAATCAGCCAAAGCCAGAAGGTGCCCAGATGCTGGCTACAAGAGGGGAGCAGTTGGGAGTGGTCACGAACTGGCCACCCTCTTTAGAAGCAGCACTACAGCGATGGGGAACCATCTCACCAAAGGCCCCCTGCCTGACTACCATGGACACAAATGGAAAACCCTTGTATATCCTCACTTATGGTAATCTCATACTGTTACTTATAGCAATCCTATAAAGTTCACTATCTGTCCTTTGTCATTCCTGCATATTACCACTACAAAATGGCATAACCACTACAAAATGGGGGAAAAAAAAAACTTCTGGGTGACTCATTTATCTAAAATTATTCTAAAATAAATTATTTTGTGATGACAAAAGAGTTACTACTTAAAAAAAAAAGTTAAACCAGAAATGGATGTATAAAGCTGTGATTATAACTTCACTGTGATGCTAGATCTTGTTTTTGCTTTTGTTTTCAAAAGAATACTTTCACTGATGACAATAGGGAGTATGTATCAAAACTTTGAGTCTAGATTTGAATTATAAGACCCCCAAACACCAAAATGCTGTAATCACAAATGCTGACACTGAAAGGTATTGGAAATTCCTGAAGTTTAAAAATCCCAAAAATACAGTTATGAAAAAGTATTTAAAATTCTTTAAATGACATTTATTATACATACAAACACGTGTGTGTATGGTTTTGTTTTTTTGTTTTTTGTTTTTTGTTTTGTTTTGTTTTGAGACAGAATCTCTGTATGTGGCCCTTGCTGCCCTGGAATTTGCTATGTAGACCAGAATGGGCTCCAATATGCAGAGATCTACCCACCTCAGGATTCCGTGGAGCCAGAATTAGAGGCATACACTACACCTGGCTTCATTTACTTTTTTTTTTTTTTAAATTTAAACTAGAAACAAGCTTTTTTTTTACAAGTTAATTCCAGTTCTCTCTCCTTCTCCTCCTCCCCTGCCCCCAACCTACCCCCTTTCACACCTTTTTTTTGCTTCCCAGGGAGGGTGAGGCCTTCCATGGGAGATCTTCAAAGTCTGCCATATCATTTGGAGCAGGGTTTAGGCCCTCCCTCATGTTTCTAGGCTGAGGGATTTTTCCTCTATGTGGAATAGGCTCCCAAAGTCCATTAGTATACTAGGGATAAATACTGATCCACTCACTGTCAGAGGCTCCATAGACTATCCATGCCTCCTAACTGAGACCCATGCTCAAGTGGTCTGCCTGTGTCCAATGCTGGTTTCCCAGCTATCAGTCTGGGGCCCATGAGCTCCCTCATGTTCAGGTCAGCTGTTTCTAGGAGTTTTTCCAGGCTGATGATCTTGGCCCCTTTGCTCACCATTCCTCCCTCTTTGCACCTGGATTCCAGGAGTTCAGCTCAGTGTTTGGCTGTGGGTGTCAGCTTCCACTTCCATTAGCTACTGGATGAAGGCTCTTGGATGGCATATAAGGTAGTCATCAATCTCATTATCAGGGAAGGGCATTTAAGGTAGCCTCTCCACTATTGCTTAGATTGTTAGTTGGGGTCATCCTTGTAGATCTCTGACATTTCCCTAGTGCCAGATTTCTCTTTAAACCTATAATGGCTCCCTCTTTTCTTACTCTCCTTTATTCTTCCCCTGACTCAATCTTCCTGTTCCCTCTTATCCTCCTCTCCCCTCCTTTTCACCTCTTCTCTTTGTCCTGACTCCCTCCCTCCCCTCCCAATTTGCTCAGGAGATCTTTTCCCTTTCCCCTTCTCCTGGGGACCATGTATAAGGTATATTCTTTTGTGTTTGGATGGAATTTTTTGTAGATGTCTGTTAAACCCATTGGGGGTCACAACTTCTGTTAGTTCTTTTTTGTTTCTTTGTTAAGTTTCTGTCTGGTGGTCCATCCAGTGGTGTGAGTGGGGTGTTGAAGTCTCCCACTATATAAGTGTGTGAGGTTTTATGTGAGATTTGAGTTTTTGTAATGTTTCTTTTATGAATGTGGGTGCCTTTGTATTTGGGGAATAGATGTTCAGAACTAAGACTTCATCCTGATGGATTTTTCCTGTGATGCATATAAAATGATCTTTATCTCTTTTGATTGATTTTAGTTTGAAGTCTAATTTGTTAGATATTAGGATATTAGCTACACCAATTTGTTTCTTGGGTCCATTTGATTGGAAAATCTTTTCCCAACTTATTACTCTTAAGTAACATCTGTTTTTGAAGTTGAGCTGTGTTTCTTGTATGCAGCAGAAGGATGGTTCTGTATTCATGTCCATACTGTTAGCCTATGTCTTTTTATAGGTGAGTTAAGACCATTAATATTGAGGGAAATTAAGGGCCATTGATTGTTTTTTTGTTTTGTTTTTTTTTTTTTTTGTTTTTTTTTTTTTTTTTTTTTTTTTATTCTTTGAAAATTTTTTTTTTTTTTTTGCATATAGAGTATTTTTTATTTAATTTTATATAACAAAGTCCAATTAAATGAAAACAAACATTTATACACAATATTTGGGAATTTGGGCGTCGTTCTTTCCAAACTACTTCCTGCTGGTAAGGGGCGCTGTCTTGGGGGATTCGAAGAAGATTCAGATATCCTAGCTGTAGTCTGTAGGGCTGTTTTGTCCAGCTGTTTGGAATGTAGGATCAGCTTGTACTCTGTTTCAGGCGGTCTGGTGTGATCAAACCACATTAGTCTGGAAGGAATCCACATCTTTTCATTTTCTGTGGAAACAAAAATAGAAATACTTTTCCCCAGTAACTTGTTCTTCAACTTAAATTTTGGAGTCAAAGCGTTTTTTTTTTTTTTTTTTTTTTATTATTATTATTTTACATGTCGATCCCAGTTCCCTCTCCCTCCCTCCCTCCCTCCCCCCAAGCCCTCCCTCCCTCCTTCCCCTCCCTTTTGCCCTCTCTACCCTCTCCCCATGCACTCTAAACACCCTCCCCTCCCAACCCCCCACCACAATACAATATGTAGGGGAATGCCATCCAGTTGGGGTCATGTAGATCTGACAGGTCCTGTGAAGTAGGGACTAGGGCTTCTCTCCTATCTCTAGAATAAGGCAGTTATCCCTCCATGGGGGATATGTTTGCAAAGTCCTTTTGTGCACCAGGGATACATCCTGGCTCCACTGTCTGAGGTCTCTTAGACTGCTCAGACCTTCTGGCTGAGACCCATATTCAGGGGAGTCCGAGTCAGACCTCTGTTGGCTTCCCAGCTATCAGTCTAGTGGCCCTTAGCTCCTCCTTGTTCAGGTAAGCTGTCTCTATGTACTTCTACCGCATGGTCTTGTCCTCTCCATCTGCTTCTGGGTTCTAGTTTGACTCAGTGTTTATGTATGGGTGTTTGCTCCTGTTTTCAACAGGCATTAGTTGAGGACTCCATGGAGAAGTTAGTTGTTGATCTCACTCTCCGGGAAGGGCATTTATGATAGCCTTTCCACGGAAGCTGAGATTGTTAGTTGGGAGCAGTCTTGTAGTTCCCTCGACCTTTCTTTGTGTTCAACTTTATCTTCAAACCAATATTGGCTCCCTCTTTTATGTTCTCTCTCTCTGTCTCTGTCTCTCTCTCTCTTTCCTATTTTCCATTCCTAACCAGGCTCAATCCTCCTAGTCACACATGCCTTCCTCTCCTCCCTCTCATTTTCTCCTACTTCTCTCTCCATTAGCTGTCCTCCCCCACTATACCTGAGGTCTGGGGGACTTGTCCCTTCCCAGTTCTGTGAGGGACTTTATATGAATCTCTTAGAATACAACTTGTATCCTAGTTCCTCTGGTGATGTGAATTATAGGCTGGTGATCATTTGATCTAGGTCTAAAATCCATATATGAGTGAGTACATACTGTGTTCCTCTTTTTGTGACTGGGTTACCTCATTCAGGATGGTTTCTTCAAGTGCCATCCACTTGCCTGCGAATTTCAAGATACCATTATTTTTTTTCTGCAGAGTAGTATTCCATTGTGTAGATGTGCCACATCTTCATTAACCATTCTTCAATTGAAGGGCATCTAGGTTGCTTCCAGGTTCTTGCTATTACAAATAGTGCTGCTATGAACATAGTTGAACAGATGTCTTTGTTGCATTGATGTGAATCCTTTGGGTATATGCCTAAGAGGGGGATTGCCGGGTCCTGTGGTAAACTAATTCCCATTTTCCTGAGGAACCGCCATACTGATCTCCAAAGTGGCTGTATGAGTTTGCACTCCCACCAGCAGTGGAGGAGTGTTCCACTTTCTCCACATCCTCTCCAACATAAGTCATCACTGGTGTTTCTAATTTTAGCCATTCTGGCAGGGGTAAGATGGTATCTCAAAGTTGTTTTGATTTGCATTTCCCTGATAGCTAAGGATGTGGAGCATTTTCTTAAGTGTCTTTCAGCCTTTTTGATTTCCTCCATTGAGAATTCTTTCTTCAGTTCTGTACCCCATTTTTTAATAGGGTTATTTGGTGTTTTGTTGACTAGTTTCTTGAGTTCTTTGTATATTTTGGAGATCAGCCCTTTGTCGGATATAGGATTAGTGAAAATCTTTTCCCAGTCAGTGGGCTGCCGTTTGGTCTTGTCAACTGTGTCCTTTGCCTTACAGAAGCTTCTAAGTTTGAAGAGGTCCCATTTATTAATTGTTTCTTTCAGTGTCTGTGCCCCTGGAGTTATGTTCAAGAAGCGGTCTCCTATACCAATTTGTTCAAGGGTACCTCCTACTTTCTCTTCTAAGAGGTTCAATGTGGCTGGATTGATGTTGAGGTCTTTGATCCATTTGGACTTGAGTTTTGTGCATGGCGACAGACATGGGTCTATCTGCAGTCTTCTACACACCCTCATCCAATTGTGCCAGCACCATTTGTTGAAGATGCTGTCTTTGCCCCATTGTATCATTTTAGCTGTTTTGTCGAAAATCAGGTGTTCATAGGTGCATGGATTAATATCAGGATTTTCAATTCGATTCCATTGGTCTACCTGTCTATTTTTATGCCAATACCAGGCTGTTTTCAGAACTATAGCTCTGTAGTAGAGCTTAAAGTCAGGAATGGTGATGCCTCCTGATGTTCTTTTATTGTATAGGGTTGTTTTGGCTATCCTGGGTCTTTTGTTTTTCCATATAAAGTTAATTATTATCCTTTCAAGGTCGGTGAAGAATTGTGGTGGGATTTTAATGGGGATTGCATTGAATCTGTAGATTGCTTTTGGTAAGATTGCCATTTTTACTATGTTTATCCTAC